CCCCAAAACCCCAAAACCCCAAAACCCCTTAATTAAGCCTTCTGGTTGAAATTAAGAGTGATTTATCTAATAGATGAAGCATTTCTGGCTATCTTAAACCCGAAAGGATGCTTTGTCTTTCCTTCACTTGAGTCTGTACAATCATTCAAACCCCTTACCTGTAGTAGCAGTGATTCTTGGTTGAGAGCTGGATCTTATCGAAGGTAGAGCTTTGGAATTTCCTATAGGCATGTCTTTGTGAAGTATCAACTTTCGGTAGCTCTTCTGCTTTAACTTGGCAACTACAAGTTTATTTGATAGTTACTATTATTAAAAATTATGTTGCTTTTGGTATTGGAATTCTCTCTTTTAGAAACTCGCCTATACATCATTTTAAACATCCGATCTATACTTTAGCTTAAAAATATTTGCTTTATTGCTAGAGGTCATTGACTTTTGATTGTATGACTTCCTAAAATATTTGATGGGGCGTACAATGGTTGCTTAATGTCAGGCATAGCCCCGCCTAGATAGTCATACTAGCTAGTTTACCGCTATCATAACTCTGCTGTACAGTATACATCTTCCTGTTCTGAGCTCTTGAGGTATTGGACTCCTATAGATTCACACAGCATTTTACATTATGATCATACTTTGGTGGCCTATTTTTATGGCGTATATTTGTTCCTAGATGTATACTAGAAGTCCTTACTTTTAGTAGCAGGAGAAATACTCAAATGAAGAGAATTATTCTTATTCTTCTTATTCACAGTAGTCCTTGGCTCATTAGTCCCAAGATTTGCAGTTTTTGACTTATTGTCAATACTAAGATTCTTAGATGGTGTCTTGTTTTGCTCTAATTTTCTGGAAAATCATTTTGACAGCTTACTTCTGAGACTCGCTAAACTTGCGATATAGTCTAGATGATTTGTTCCTAGGAAAGTATAAGTCAGCAAGCTTACTTTTGACAGCTTATTTTCCTCTTTCCCTTGATTTTACTAATTCTTTTCTCTAAATTTTTGATTTTCTGCCTGAGAAGTTTGTCTTTCTCAATATTGGATTCATTATCTGACTTATTTTTAGTTTTACTTTTCCGAATAAAAGGGAACTCCTTGGTTTGCTGCTTTTTCTTAGAATTCCTGAAGAGTGAGAGTTTATAATTACTTTCTAGAGAAGGCATTTGGCTTATCTTCAAATTTGGGTTCTTCCTTGATGCTTTCGATTTGGAGAAAATTTGGGTTTTCATTAAAATTTTGATTATTTGGGCTATTTATGTTGAGATATAGGTTACTTACTCTTGGCCAGCTTCAAAGTTGTCCTCATTATTGGTGTCAGTTGCAGGGAGTTTGATCGGAGAGGAGAATGAGCCATTTTCTTGAGGCAATTTCTCACTGTGGGTAATATAAAAACTAACTTGTTTTTTACTTCATCGTTGTTGATCTTGGAAAGACCAGGGGAGATTAATGAAGCCGACCTTTTACCTGTAAGAGAGACTGAAGATAAATGGATGTCCATTCCTTTCATAGGTCCTAGAGCATTATAGTTAAACCTACTTGGTTTGACGATACCTTTTCCTTGTCTGTTATTGCTATAGATTTATGAACATTCCTCATAGACCGAAGGTTACTCCATATATAACTCTTGTATGTTAGCAGAACTTTTAAATGGACTCTTAAAGTTCTGATCGATAATATTTTCATAATGGGAGGTCGGACCGCTCATCATTTTAGAGTGAGACCTCTTTCTCATCCTCAATTTTTTGATAGACTTTACTTTCTTTGTGGGATTATTATTTGGCTCTTTCATCGCATCTGAAGGTTAGCCTAGGCCTTACTAATTTTGTACTTGAAATCAAGAATTTTGGGTTCGCTATTAAGGAAAAGTTCCTTGTATACAGAAATACGATCGTTAAGGGTCTGGAGCTTGTAGTAAAAGTCGCTCTTATTATCCTTTTCTTTTCGAAGATTTATGGCATTTCTCACGTTAAAATCCATTTTCCTAAACGTCTTTTTTGGAAGGTTACCCGTAATAGTCATTGACGCTATTTTCTCCATTTGAATCTCGTTCTAGTTTCTCTAAATAAGCTTATAAATCTCAGATTGTTGGTCCATAAGAGGGCTGATAAATATCTTAGCCTTGCCATGCAAGCTTGTAGCCAAAAAGAGAAGCTTGTCAAGAGGTTGGGAACTTTGATGGTTTTATCATTACGAAGGTTATATTTTATGCTACAAATAAAGCAAAATTTAGCGTAAACAAATATGGAATATGAGGCAAGTACCTTCTTCATCAACTTGCTTCTTAAAGAAATCTATGGCATCATTTTTCAAGGACTCTAGTTTCTCTATTGGTTTGGTTGATTTCTTATCAGCTATGACATTGTAAGGCTCCATTGTGATTATTTTTATATGAATTTAATTAATTCTATCTATATAGTGAAACATGGGGTTTTGGGGTTTTGGGGTTTTGGGG